ATCCTCCCCTCTCTCATGACAAGGTGCGCACGAGTCCTATCATGAAAAAAGGTTCATTGTGCGACCTGAGTATCGTGCAGTAACGGGGTGTCTGCAATGGTAACTGCGTTATATTTCATGTCAAAGTATTTAGTTAGATTACTCGTTACTAAAACAAGGTAACAGCGTTAGTAACGCCGTTACTTTCAACGCCGTTAGTCCCATCACTGTTTACTAGTAACTAGTTAGTTTTATTGTGGAGTAAGTCAGTTAGTAACTAAGCTACTTTTTGGGAGAAGTAACTAGCAACTATAACTAATTACTTTTTCAAAGTAACGTGCCCAACACTGGGCGCCACACAGTGTTAGCCCACTGCTCCCCATTGGGATGGGTGAAGATGCAGAAGTGAATTTCTTCAATGTCAGTTGTCAGTTTATTATTATTATCTCACTCAAGGATAGTATTTGGTCTGTCCATAAAGAGAAGTACAGTTAATGTACAAAATGTACATAGCTATAACTGTAACGACAGAGTGTGTAATACAAGTAGACCTTCCAGGTCAAAGAGAAGAGATAGAGCTGATTTATTGCTAAAAAAGGCTCCAACACATGGTCCAATATGGTGTCACCTAAAAGAATTATGTAAGGATTAAATAATGGAGAAGCAATTAGTCAGCTTTGTATAAAAATTATTCATTTTCTGAGGATGTTTATTTAAGAGCAACTTTGGAAATTAACAACCAGCTAGAAAAAGTACACTATATGATATTATTTTCCATGTGAATTCAAGATTGTTCATTCTTTTTTGCCTTTCCTAAAAAGTGCTTTAAATCATTCCTACCTGTCTTTATCCATTCTGGGTCAGATCCTGACATTTGAAAAATGGCAGGGAAAGCAGAATAATAAGCATTAGCCTCACTGCATACAGCTAGCAAAGCATTGTAGCTAAACCAGGTCCTGAAAAAAAGACCATGTGTACCATCTCCATCTGTCTTCGGACCTCTGATTAATTTTGAAGGTCGGCTTATCAGGTCCAAATGCTTTCCCCTCCAGCTTCTCTTGGTAAGTTTGCTTTATAAGACTTCACTTTCACGACTTGACATGTCAATCAGCCACACTACTAACAGGTTAGGGTTCCTGTCCTCCCAGGGCACAGCTCTCCTTCGCCCTGATCTCTCATATCTTTTTGCACTGCAGAGGAGTTAATATGCATGCACACCTTTTAACAAGAGTCAATGGCCAAAGATTTTTGTGCCCCAGGGCGGAACTACGTCACCAATCTGATGACGAATAAAACAGATTTACTTGTCATTAAAGATTTAACAACACATTTATCTTGCACACCTAAAAATATATATTTATATATAATATATTTAATATATTTATTTGTATTTTATAATTACATTTTTATTGTTTGTTTATGTTTCACTCAAAGTCACTGGGTGGGTGGGGCAGGGCCATAGCACCCTCTGTTGACCAGCTGCCACTGTACCCCACTCTGAAAAAAAAAACTCTGCAAATAGACTGAATGGTTATTACTTCATTAGTGCAGGTTTGTACATCTGAAATTGTCATTTGCAAAAATGAAAAAACAAAAAAATAGATAACAAGATCTGTGCTAACGTGATAATGTTTTAGGCCATCCAGAGAAGCTGCAAACTGAACAGGATGCAAAGAGCTCACACACAAGTTTAGAATGGCCTATTCTATTGGAATGCTATATGAAGGCAGTGTGCGTCTACTGCAGTTACCTGGAGCACAGCATGGATGCAGTGACAGATGAATAGTGTTGTATTTTGTAGCTAAGCCATTCAGTGATTTATAGACTAAAAGAAGTATCTTAAAGCCTATTTTCTGAAATGTGTGTAGTCAGTAGAAAGACTTGGAACTAGGCTGATGTGTTCTACTTTCTTAGTTTTAGTGAGGACACAGGCAGCACGTTTTGGATCAGCTGCAGTTTTCTGACTGAGACAACATATTGTTATGTGACTTCATGTTGTAAGTATGTCTATCTATCCTATAATTAGTGATTTGTTTTCAGAGTTCAACAGAGGATTGGAGATGTTCAGCCTTACCTGCCAAACAGCTGCTCTGGTTGTTTTCTGGCGGTCCAGCTCTGTTTCTAAGTCTTTCTCCACACTCTGCATTGCTCCTCTTCCTCCATCTGTGGAGGAAGAGAAGTTTTGTTTTTATTTTTCAAGAAATTTAAACAAGGATTAATCCAGCATTTCTGATGACCATATTGTGTGTCTGTAACTACACACAAAGGCCAAGCAACAAAGCAAAGAACTCAGAGGGTTGAGAATTACCCTTTACAAAGGCAACATGAAAATACCATTGTCTTCAGAGGTTTAGTTTCACTTTTAAGCTAGTAAATGTTTAGTGAGATATTTATATTAAGCAACTGTCCTTTTCCGTCCTTCATCATGTAAACAGATGATCAACCAGCAGCAGTCCCATCTCTTCAGCACAAACACCCCCCATCCTGTCCCAGTGAAGAAGGTGAGCTAGATTGTGTTCAGGGACATGTCAGTTAGCATAATTTTGTCTCTTTTTAACCAAAAAAAAAAAAAAAAAAATCAAAATCAAACTTTTTTTCTATTAAAAAAATGTGAAACATATACTATATATCATCATAATATAAAAATGGCCTGTAGTTGTTTGTACTGGATATTGGACAGTTGAAGGAAAACATTAGCCTCCAGCAGCCTGTATTAAAATCAGTCAATATTAAAATAGTTCAGTTAGATGTTTTTATTCAGATTGAATATCAATGTCTTTTATGGGGCTTGTTCTCTGATAGAACGCCATGCAAGAAGTTCTAAAAGTTACTTAGGGTTCTGGTCTTTATCGCATTAAGTCAACTGAATCTAACTTTATGACGATCCTTTGGACTTCAGTTCTGGGTCCATGATGTAGTTTTATTGCCCTGATATATCATTAAGCATCTTAGTCTTTAGTTCCAGTAATGGACATAATTTTTCAG